AGCCACACACATATTGCAGCCCCCTAGTGACAATAAAAAAAAGTTGTCATTAAAATATATAGTGACAATTTTATACATTTAGCCACAATAATTTTTACGGACTAAAAGACAAATTTCTTATAGTGGATTGAAGGATGTTACAGATTTGATCGAACACCACCTTGATCATAGTTTTGTGTGTTTTAAAGATTGATAGTTTGTACTAGCTATTTTGCTACAATCCTTGTTTAATTCATGATTATACTTTTTAATTTCTCTAATATTGCTTCTTTTTTTTTTTTTTTATTGTAAAAGACTATTTAGGAAAAATGAATGATATTATGTCATACCTTTGGGGCTATTTGGTATGTGGGTTTGGGGAGGGGGGGGGGGTGGGTTTGGAACATGGGTTGGGGACTAAATCCCCTTAAACCCATATTTGGTAATTATGGATTTAGCCTAGGGTTTGAAATCTAGCCCGGTCATGAAACCCTTGTTCATGAAACCCATGGGAGTGAGTTTCATATGTGGGTTTGAGAGTTTTACATTTAAATGACATTTATACCCATCATATATTCATACTCATGTTTGAATTAAATTAGTTAAGGAGCACAATAATCATGTAAATGCAAATATATTATCATAATAGTCATATATCCTTGCGCATACCAAATATGAGTATGAACAATATTGAATATTGAATCTCATCTTTGGTGAAAACTAAGTTTAGATAAGGTAATTCAAACTCCTCCCAAAAAACATAACAAATAGGCCCTTGATGCATTGTTTGGAACCTAAAAATGAGAGAAAAATTAGTATCCACTCAAAGAATATGAATTGTTCCTAGTTATGTAATGAGATAAAGTTGGTTGTTGGGTGAGATACATGAGACAAACGAATGAACTTTGAGCTGTCCAAGGTAAAGCATGGATTAAAAGTCATAATAAAGGTTAGTGGTTGGCTCATTTAAAGCCCGGACAAGTTCATACACACTTCCCCGTGTTGACATAAACCTTTTTTTATTTTTTTTTATCCCTCCGAACCTTGTTTTTTAATGTATGTAATTTTTTTGTTATTTGTTTTAATAATGTGAGTAAATGAAGAATTCTCAGCACTGTTTCTATATAGTGCCCCATCATCGGGTCGGGACGTATCGGATCTCAAGTAAGGATGTGTTTGTAGAATAGGGAGTCCAATGATCTAAGGTCCAATATACATGTCTGGAATCCAAAGTTAATTAAAAGCTTAAGTCAATAGGTGGTGAACCCATCAATAATATATTATGACACTTTTAACTTTTTTTTTGTTCTCCGATGTGGGATTCTCCACACATGCGGGTGGAGGGAGGCTAGGGTCAGGGTAGGCATATGCCCCCCCCCCCTAAAAAAAAATAAAATTTATTTGTTAATATATTATTTGTGCCCCCAAAATATAAGATAAAAATATTAGGCCTACATTATTTACTCAAAAGAATTAAAAAAATTAAGCCCATTTAAAATTAAAAAATTTGAACCCACCACTATCTACCAAAACTTATTAAAAAATCAAATATTTGACCTATCACAATCCATCCATACCTATTAAAAAAATAAAATTTTTGATCCACCATTAAAAAACAAAGTTTTTAGCGCATTTGACAGACATTAGTAATATCTATCTTATTAGTTATTTTTTTTTTCATCTCTGTCTCACTCACTTTAGTTGCCCAACCAGAAGAAACAGAGTAAAACTCCTTCCTCGGTTTCTTAGGTTTTTTTTTTTCGTTCCTTGCACAGTTGATGGGTTTAGTAGAGAGCATGACCGGAGCCAACATATGCCCGGGGGGGCACATGTCCACCCTCAAATTTTTTTCTTAACATTACCTATATGTATTTCAAGTATTTCTTTAATATTTTTAATTATGCCCACCCAATTTTTTTGGCACATCAATTAATGTACACTTATATCAAATAAATATGAATTTTTTTGACACATTTTTGACATGTTATGTATATAAAGACCAAAGTGATAAAATGATGGTGTATATAAAAATAATAAAGTTGTTATGCAACGGTTTCAAAGTATAAAATTCACCGAAGTCAATTCTAAATGATTTTAATTAACCTATATTTTGTAAAAAAAAAAAAAAATGGTGTCATTTGTATATACTAAGCTTACCAAATTTTGGTATGTTAGGTTTAATAAATTTTTAAGTATTAAATAAGATATAATTAAATATAAATTATTGTCCTATTTCTATTGATTGTAAAAAAAAAATTAGTTTGTTGAAATATTTGTGCACACCCTGACATGACTATCTGGCTCTACTCCTGCACACATGTAATACCTAACAATCTTCCTTGTATGTGTGAATTATATCGAGTTTAACTTCCCCTTGAGTTTGACCCATCACTCTCTATAAATATTGCGTCTAACCACTTTTTACAAGAGATTGTTTTTTCAAGAATCAAGTTTTTTATCGCTCTTTACGAGTAAACATATTACAGCTCTTTCTTGCGCCTAAAACCTAAATTTATTTATTTTTGTCAAAATGCACTTCCATGACTTCAATACCAAGAGTTCATCACTTTTCTTAAGAGGCAACATTAGTACTGACACGCTATATTATTTTTTCGAGAGTTCACCTAGAATCGTCGGCTTTCGACTCTAATACTATTTGTTAAGAGAATAAGAAGTTCAATGTTTTAAGGCTCAATGTACATCCCTAAAACTCATGGTAGGCCCAAGCCCTTACTTGGGCGTGGTGAACCGGGTTTCAAGTAGGAGTAAGCTACCAGCAGTCTAATCCACCATTTATTGAGCGGGCTTTTTATTTTTTATTTTTTTTGCTCTTAGCCTGTTTATATATATATACAATTTTCATTTAAAAAGTTTCTAACTTAATATTTTTATAAATTATATTTTTGAATTAAAGATAGAGTCAAAATAGATAGAAAATAAATAATTAATAATTTTACTTAAATAATGTAGAGTCCTATATTACTATCAAACTTTTAAAGTTTCAATAGTTAATTTTTTTTTCAAACAATTGAGTGGAAAAATTAGGGATTCTTGGGCTGAGTTTTAATAGATTTTTGCAAGCGAGCTTATAAGCCGAGTAATGGATTTGAGGGAAAACTCAAATTTTTGTTCAAAAGATATTGAGCTCGGACTTAGACTGGTCAACTATTAAACTTATCGAACTTCAAATCAAATAATAGAACCCGTGGGCCAACCCAAAATTTTATTGGATTAGGCTCAAATAGAGAACGCTGGAAGAAGGGAACCCCCGACGCGATTATTCTTGTCTAAGAAAGCTAATGTTGTGCGCCTGTGACACAACAATGCATGCGCATGTATTCAAAACCAAACGAAACTACCAGTTGACTAAGCCGGCTCACAAAACAAGTCCATTGAATTTTAAAAACCCCATCTATATGTTGCTAATCAGGCCCAAGTCCAGTTGAGAACGAAAGCCGGTCCATGGTAATGCCAGTAACACGGCCCATCAGATTTATATTTGCAGTGGGACCCCGGTTGATAAACGCCCCATGAAAGCCCGTATGTATGTGATATCTCCTCCTGGAATTGCCATATAAAGCGCCGGAGTCTTTATTCCCATCGAATTTTTGCGCACCCAATCATCACTCTCTCTTGCTAGGATCGATCCTATCTCGTCAACGATTGTCGTTTTTACTCTTTAAAACCCTTCAATCCCCAAACCTCACACTCCAATTCCACAGAGACCCCAAATCCACAACGTCATTGAGAGGTAACACATTCGAATGTCCCTCATTCTATTGGTTTTCTTCTTCAATTTTGTTCGATTCAAGCCTTTTTTTACTATGTAACTGCCTTCACTCTAGGTTTTTTTTTTCTTTTTAGGGTTTTAAACAATTAGGGTTTCTCATATTCAAAAAAAAAAAACAATTAGGGTTTCTGCTGGGAAGGAAAGAGAGAAATTGGAGCAGTGTCTGTACTCGTCATTCAATGGAAGCCGCGGCCGGTGGTGTTTCCGCCGCTGCACGTGGTGTATCTCTGCCGATGACCTCATCTCAAGCTTCCCGTAAAGAGTGGCGGGTTGTTTCCGAACAATCGATTCGAAATTCCGGCAACGAGGTACTAGTTTACTTAAAAACCTAGTAACATTGCTTTAACTGCAATCGTAAAGTTAAGTTTTACAATTTTAGTTGGTTTTTTGAATATTTTTTCTTGATTTGAGCGAAAACAGCTAGGGCCAGCGGATGAGCGACTGATATATGAGGTACGCAATATGTTCTTTATGAGTTAAGGTTCTTTTTTTTTTTATAATGTTTTTCTAGTAGTTTTTTATTAGATATATTACTGACAATGAACGTGATTTGGTGTTTTGTCAAGGTGCATCAAGGAAGGGAACCGATTGGTATCGATTTCAGTTCGATACCAACTGACGGAAGCTTGGACAATGATGTATTGGAGCAAAGACTTCACAGTGTGATGAGACAGAGGGAGGAGTTGCTACACATGGAGATTGAGCTGAAAGCTCGGCTCATTGCGAGATTACAGATTATGGAGATGCAGAATACCTACGATGCTCAGATCAAAGAGCATGCAGATGCCAATGTCAAGCTTCAGGTATGCAGGTTCTGAAATAAATGTATGAATATACATGTCTTTATGCATGTATATGTGTTGGTATTATTTTTCATATTTGGGTTTTACTTGGTCGTGAAGGAGCATCTTCATGAAAGGGAAAACACTCTAAAAGAATTGGAAAGGAAGATTGAAGAAAAAGAAAGAGAGCTGAATGCAATTAGATTAGCCAATGAAGCGGTTCGTCTGGGCATATTTAATATTTTAATTGATTTGTTAGTTTATAGGATTTTGTTATTTATGGGTTATGATTCTTGCTTGATTATATACTTCTTTCTTACATATTTTGCAGGCATGGGCTAAAGAGGATCTTCTCAGAGAACAGAACAAAGAACTGGCAACCTTTCGGTATGTGTTAGTGTCTTTATGAGAACTATATATATAAAGTTGTTTTACTGTGGATGCTGATACATTATAAACAGTTTTGCTCGTGGTTACACATATTTGAATCTAGCATGTGCTAACATTTTAGACCTTTTTTTGCTTAAGTTGGATTTGTTCCTTTTATATTCACTGGCCTTTTTGTGCCTGTTGGACCCTTTCCCTTTCCCTGTCTCATGAAGACCTTGACTAGCTGTAGCTCCATTGCTTAGGGTTTTTGGCAGTTTTGGTGATTAATGTGGAATGGGATTTGTGTTTTTGCAGGAGAGAGCGTGACAACTCGGAAGCTGAAAGAGCCCAGCATCTTAAACAGATGCACGATCTTCAGGAACATATTCAAGAAAAGGAGAGGCAATTCATGGAGTTGCAGGAACAGGTTTGTTGAATTGCATGTCTGCAGTGCGTTGGTGCATTCCAAGTCCCAACTGGGTGGAATTAATACATTGAACTCTTCTAAAGTACACATATGTATTCATGCTGTTTTGTATTTATTAATTTATATGAAGAAGAATGTGCATTGTTTGGGAACGTTATATGGCTTTTATAGTCAATTTGTAATGCTTGGATTCTGGTCATATAATACTTTGCCATGAAATGCAATATATTTTGTCTTGGGGCCCTATTTCTTCCTTCTAAAAGTCTCTCATTTTTAGCAATTTATTGCCTGGCCTGGCTAATTTGTTTGAACTAATCTCTGTGCATAAGTTTGGCAGTATATTGCCTAACTCTAGATTTTATTTTTCAGCATAGAGTTGCTCAGGAAAATATTATTTTCAAAGATGAACAATTAAGGGAGGCCCAAGCTTGGATTAACCGTGTTCAAGAGATGGATGCCTTGCAATCAACTACTACTCACACATTACAAGCTGAATTGCGCGAGCGTACAGAACAATATAACCAGCTTTGGCTTGGTTGTCAAAGACAGGTGTTTAGCTATCCACAATGTTGACTGTAGATTGAAGTGCTTGAATTAATTATTCACCTTTTTTTAATTTTTTCCTATAAATGAAGTTAGTTGATAAAATCTGGACTGTGTTGTGGAATGTGTTCTCTTTTGGCTTGCAAGTCAGTTTAAAAATTTTAGATTTTCTGTTGGTTCTGAATTCACTTAGTTTCCACTGGAGATTAATTGTACTTGTTATCTGTGTTAGTTTGTTGAGATGGAGAGGCTTCACCTACATACAATTCAACAGCTCCAACTTGAATTGGTCAATGCAAGAGATTCCCAAACAAATTCAAAAGAAATTTCTCAGTTTGCCCAGAACAATGGAAGCCAACAAGATGCTAGTGGAAGTGGGGCACTGAATGGAAATCCCGGAGGCCTTCTAAATGGAAATGCAGAAAACATTTCGTCTTTCACTTCCCCAGGGAATTCATCAACACAGGTAGACTGTAACTTCTAAACTTTTTTATATTCAAGTTATTGAGGCAATAGGTGCATTATACTCTTAAGCTGTGGATTTAAAATTTAAAATTTCTATTTTCCGTAGTTGTAACCCTTTTGAATTTCCTTTTTTAATATCTTAAGACCGACAATGTTCATGGTGCTCCACTCGCCCCTTCGTCCCTTATGGGAATGCCTACGTATCTGCCACCTGGACCAGTGACTGCTCTGCATCCATTTGTTATGCATCAGCAGGGGGTTCCTCATTCTGTACCATCACATGTTCCTCAATCTCATGTTGGACATTTTCATTCGGTACCAGCAATTTCATCTCTTCAACATTGGCCAAACCAACAGGTATTAGCAGATAAAAATCTGTTGCCGGTTCTCATGGTTTACAATGTTTGCGATAGTTTAGTAATTGGATACTGCTCTTTCTCTTTATGTTCTTCAGGCTGTATCAGAGGGTTCACAGATGCCCATTTATAACCAGTATCATTCCTCCCAAATTGAACAGAACTTGTTGAGATCAGATGCTAATTATGACTATGAAGTGCCCGCAAATGGGCAAGCTCTTCATTCAGACTATGTGAATGGTGCTATCAGCCAAGGGCTGGAGACTGATTCTGTGATTCCATCATCTAATGATGAAGGACAGGTAGGGTGACCTAAAATTCAACATCATATAATCCTTTGTTTGCTGTTTTTCTTTTCATATGCTTTGTTGTCTTTATCCGCCAAAAACTGTATCCAGGTGATTGAGTCCATTGAAAACAGCTATCTGGCAGTACCCCAACCCCAGCAGAGCTTCCAACAGATTTCTTCCCAGTTTCATGATGCTTTAAGATTGGGCTCTCTTGAACAGAATAGTGAGACCAAGGTCTGTTATATTATGTTCATTTTTCCTATTTGCTTGGTGTCGTCGTGGATCTCGTTGTCTTAAGTGGTTTGTGCTGCAAGGTTCATGTGGAAATTCTTGAAAGCAGCTACTAGGCATTGTTGGATAGAAGTTGATACATAAATTTTTAACTGGCACAGGAGAACAACACTTCTAATCATGAACTAGAGTCCCATGGTTTAGCTACAGAACAACCTAGTTCTGCCAATACATCACCATCTGAAGCTCCAATTTGTCCAGTCAATATTGGTGAAACCACAATAAGCAATGTCACTAGTGCAATTCTGCCTGAAGCCATTTCCTCTACTGGGCAGAATGACGCAGTTATAGTGGGAAAGACTGCTGAGACTACTCTTCTTGATGAAAGATCATTATTGGCTTGCATTGTTCGCACGATTCCACCTGGTTGCAGTGGTAGAATCAGGATTAGTTCAACGGTTAGTATAGATAGTTATTGGTGGGTAGTCTTTTAGTGTTTCCAAATTTGCTTTAATGGATGATTTCGGTTGTCCAGCTTCCAAATAGGCTTGGCAAAATGCTTTCACCTCTACATTGGCATGATTACAAGAAGAAGTATGGAAAGCTTGATGAGTTTGTCACCAGTCATCCTGAAGTTAGTTTTGTCCACACCTTCAATTAAATGTCTATACTTTATTAGTTTTTCCTGCGAATGTGTATTTCCAAATAATCTCAATTTGCTATTTCAGTTATTTGTGATTGAAGGGGATTATATTCAACTGCGAGAAGGGGCACAAGAAATCATTGCAGCTACGACAGCTGTTGCTAAAGTTGCTGCTGCTGCAGCTGCTGTGACTTCTTATTCATCATTGTTGCCTTCTGTTGCTGTCACTCCTATGGCTCAGTCTCACCGAATGAAGAAGGCCCCTTCCACTGATTCCAACTCTGGGGCCCCCAGACCTGCCAATGCTACTGATAATCTTTCACAGATCTCAGCAATACAGAATCAGCATCTTAATGGTGTTTCATTTAATGTTGGTGGAGGTGTTTCCACTGTAAAAATTTTGAGCAAACCTAAAGATCATATGGAACTGATTGGCCCCAGGCCTGGCCATTCATCTGTACCCTTGACAGTTGGAAATGGACCGAATTCTGACAGATCCAATTTTGGAAGTTCTGAAAGCAAGGGTTTAATTCATGGGCGACCTAGCACAAATTTTATTGGGAAGCAGCAGGGCAGGTATCAATCTAAGAACTTCAAAAGAGCTGCTGTCTCTTCTTTGTGTAATGTTAATATACCTGCAATCAATAGAAGCTTGAGCTCAATTGTTCTTGTGACAGGACAATGGGGGCAGGATCGAGTTCTAGAAGATAGTAAGTCTCACTAATTGTATTGCAGAAGTTGATTTGTTTTCAAGACATGCATGTCAAGCAGCTTTCTGCTTCTGTTTCTTACTCAGAAAATTTGTATGCATACTTTACTATGTCTGACTGGAGCAGATAATTGTCCAGTTTTGTGCTTTGCTCTCCAAATATTGACTGAAAAATGTGAATTTCCTGTACTCAATATATAACGAACCACCTTGTAAAGGCTTATATTTTTTCTGAGATGCTATATCCATACCTTACTCTTTGCGACTTCAATTATGAATTTGTACACCCGTTTGCTTTGATCTTATCATTGCATTTACATTTCACATACTCATTATGAAATAGGGTATTTGGAATTACTCGGCACTGAGATAAGCATATACTCGATGTGCTTTAGCTGCTAAATTGGGTCAAACATGGAGATAACAAGCTGTCTTGCACAGCTTTTTAGGATTGCTGATCTACATTTACAGGTAGAATAGGAGTTATGTTCTAAAAGTTTGTTAGAATTATAGTGGAAAATGTCGCCAAAGACATGCTTCTCATCCTAGTATCCTGAGGGAGTGGTGAACCTGAACATCATATATCAGGAAGACATGAAGAAAATAAATAGTCTAAAAGCAGTATCTGTCTGGGTCTATATTCCATGCAAATCTCATTTTCTTAGTACAGGGATGTTCCAAACTTAGAAAATAAGGCCTGTAGAGGGCTAAATTTTTAACTCAGTGGATCAGATTATTGCTTAATAGTTTCTTTTTCTTGATTTATTATGGGTTGATTATTTATTTTTATTTTTTTGCTCTTCAATTGCCCTAATAATCTTTCATCTTTTGGTTTTGGCAGGACACATTTTGAACCGTTTTACCAAAATATTTGTGCACTAAAGTGCAGACCAGTCGAATTGGGATGATGACAACAATTCAGGGGACAATTTTCCTTCAAAATTTAAATCTCCGTAGTCTTTTGCGTGTTACAGAAATCTCTTATTGGAACTTTTGACCAATTTCTATTGTTTCACTTTATTGGAAAAACTGTTCATTCGTGTGGGTATGTTGGCAGACTAAACAATACATCCAATTTCTTGCAGTTATCTGTTGCGTACAGTTGCATTTATGCATCCGGCTGCTCTTGTGTGTTAGTTCTGAATTATTTGGAAGGAAATAGTGATTTCGCCAAGTGCACTTGTGCCATGTGAAGGTTGTTTTCAGCTCATCTTTGACAGTCCTGTCCAACTGCACCCATATATGTCAAATTTATGGTGTTAGATGGCATATCAATGGCATCATGACCGTCTCTTATAACATGATGCAATTATGGTATTTACTGATAATTAGACTAATTTAGTTCCAATTCCTCCGTCAATATTCAAACCAAACAACCCCAAGGGGCTGTAGTGTAGAGCTCCCAATAAGCACTTTTTGTCAGGTATGTCTGTACAACGGCCCTTGCCGGCTCGCAATGTCATGAACTTTTTGTCAGCTCATCTTTCGTTTTTCAAACGCCCAGGAGATGCAAACCTCGTTGCTGCTTGCTACATCCTATATGCCACTTCCAACTGTCCCCCCTTGGTTTAAGGGGTTAGGGTGGCAAATTAAGTGTGATTGGGGGGTTTAAGTAGGCATAAGAAGGCAACCAAGACCACTCTTTGAGAATGTGATCGGTGTCCCGAGATCAGCATCTTCATTCAGCGTCTTTTATGCTAAAGAACGAGGCTTAAAGAAACTTGACGTCACCCAACACGGACCAAAAAAAAGATCAAGCCAACATGCCATTATAAAATGTACTAGTAGAATTTGAAAGATTGTATTGTTGCACTTGTTTAAATGGTTTCACATAAACAAGTAACTAAAGCAAACACACCATAATGTCACAAGGACCATAAACTGCAACACTAATACTACCATTCTATGATAACTTAAAGAGAAAAAAGATGCCGCTTGTTTTTTGCTCATTCATTCCCACATAATTGAGGTATACCATTACTCAAGAAGTGCAAGGGGCCATAAACCATTGGAGAAATGAAGAAACAAGCTTGACCATTTAACAGCTTCATGTGAAACTTACGATTGTGCATCCCTACTGCCTCGTTCAGAAGCAGATGTTCCTAGGCCATCACCAGAACCAGCCTCTGAACCATCTTGTTTGCTTCCTCGTGCATCCACCAAACTGCCTGATGTGCCAAGTCCAGGTTGCATGGCCTGATGCATGCCATTGTTGGCATTTGATCTCAGGTTCATGTGGGCTTGAATTTGCTGCTGTTGCTGGAAGTGGAGTAGCTGCTGTTGTTGATCTTGAGGTCGAAGGGCATTAAGTTGGAAAGGCAACTTTGAAACAGGAACACCTTGCTGTTGCTGAGGTGTTGCAGATTGAGTTTGCTGTATGTAGTTCCCTTGCTGCAAAAAAGACTGCGGGGCCATCTGCAACATTTTTGGATGTGAGCAAGAATCTGTAATTCCAAAACGGTTTGAAATGACACTTCCAACTGTTAGCCCACCTGAGACGGCAATGTTGATCCTTGAGGTTGGGCATCAGCAATTGCAGCTAAATACATTAAATTCTTCTGAAGCAGTGCTTGGTACCTATATTATTGGAATCATCATTGGGTGCCCCAACTCTTTCTCCTTAAGATAGAAGTATTGACGAGGCAAGCAAAAGTAGGCTATAATGATAAAAGGAATGAAGTAACTCCATTTAACAAAGAGATTCGCCCAAATACACAAAATTCCATTGAAATGAAAATTGCCAAAGGAAAATATTCTTGCAAGAGCCCTCTCACCAAGACATTTTCTCAAGAATTTGCACAACAGCTTCTATGAAGTATTGGTAAATGGGAAACTACCCAAAACTCTAAACATATGAAAGTCAAAAACAGGCTACCAATTTATCACAAAGGTTCTTAAAATATGAGTCTATTGAACTTTAAGTTTAGATATACAGAACTATACCTCCTTCACCCCTCAATATAACATGATTTCAATTCTTCAGTTGAAATTCTAATATCTAGCACATCCTTTGAAAATAAAATATAAATTAACACAGAAGGCTGGGGCAATCAATTAATATTTCATACCAAGTGACCAAGAAAGAATGAAGTGACGATTTAAAGGACAAATGAATAACTTAAGAAGCAAGAGAACATCCCTTAGCCCTTTATAATTTCATACCCCCCAATGTGGCTACCTTATCCACCTCGATCTATACTTCTAATTTGGAACTTACCCTGTTAGGGACATGTGAACTCAGGTAAAGCCATCAGAAGATCTTTTCAAACTTGTGCTCAATCAGGTCATCAATAATAAGCATAAAGTTAGGGGCTGCACACCCAATGCAGTTATCAGCTTATTCTGATGAAGCTTTAGTAAGACAATGCACTTTTAAACCAGTATTTTGGGCACAGAAGTTCCGGACATCTGCAGATGTTCTCAAATCTTATTAGCCCTTAAATTCAAACAATCTCAACCGAAAAAACTTCAACACTCATGCGTAATTTGTTATATACAACACCTTATCTTAATCAGGAACTAACCACATCATAATTTTCCATAAGATATGGCCACAACAAGCTGACAATTCATATACAGATGATAAAATAGAAGAGTATTCTACTAGTTCTATTGGAAACTTACTGGGCACACTCGGCGAGTTTTCCAAGGTTTTGGTTTTCCAGAATCGCCATAATCAACTGTTTATTCTCATCCAAGTACTGCATCGAGCAAAAGAAACCAAAACATTGAGAAATCACAACACTTTCTACGATTCAATCTCAGAGGATAATCATATCCATTAGCAATGAAGATTAAAATTATTGCTGTACCCATCACAGCACAACCCAGTTCTAGTCAGAAGTCACCGATTAATACCTAAATGTGAACAAAACTGGAGGCACAAGTACAAACACGTAGATACAGAGATATACACATATCTGTATATAAGGCAAACCTTTTGAATCTGCTCGGTGGTGATGGAGTTTGAAGGAAATGGAGGTGCAGAGTTCAAGGTGGGAGGTTGTGGTTGTTGCATTGTTAGGTCCGAGTTTCAGTTCTAGGTTTGGGGAGAAACCCTAATTAAACTTAAACCTTAGGATTTTAATGGATGAATAGAGAAAAGTTAATGAGATAGGAAATGAAACGAGAGGATTACTCGAGGGAGAAAGCTATGATTGAAAAGAAGGAACGAAAAAATTAAAAGATGGAAAAATGAAAGAGTAGATAAGGAATACAGTGGATGAAAAATTAGATAGATTAATTTTTTTTTTAATTTATTAAAATTTATTCTTTTAAAATTGGGTGAAATTTTTAATTATATGTGTTAAAAATATATATTATTTATCTTTATATTCTTTATTATATACATAAATTTATTATTATATATTATATATACATTAATTTTATATAAAAATATTTTTATATAAAAATATAATGATAAAATATATATTTTATATATTTATTTATCCTTCTATTTTTTCATCTTACTAAATATAAAAAAAAATTAATTATTCTTATTTTTCACCTTCTTAACCAAAACACAAAACAGAGAAAAATATTAAACCCCTTAAATATAAAAAGTGTATAACTCTTATTTTTTTATTATTTTATTCTTTGATCTATCCTACCCAACTAGACATTATTAGAATTTAAGGCATATCAGGATAAATACGACATTGTTTTCGTTAAAAATTGTTGGTTTGAAGTTGATTTATACTCGTAAATTTTTGTTAATTGATTATAAAATTTAATAAATAATTTAAAATAACAAAATTAAAAAGCTGTCCACAACGAAAAGTGGAGTGGCTGACCCATTTTTTCTTTTAAATGATAAAAAATATGAGAGATGTTTTTTCTATCATTTTAGGAAAGAAAGTAAGAATGATACACTTTTTTTTTTTAACAGGATGGATGAAAAATTAAAATAATTTTTTTTTTGTACTCGGTAAAATGGAAAAAATATTATTTTTAATTTTAATTTTTTAAAAAAAAGTATAAATACATATTTTATTATTGTGTTTATATATGAAATTAATGGATATAATATATATCAAATGATGGATAGACAAATAAGATATATTTTAACACAAATAATTAACTTTTTATCCACTTTTCTTCTAATTTTGGAGGATTTGATTTTAGTGAGTTAAAAAGAAAATTCATCTATCCACTTTTTCATCATTCTTATTTTTCTTCTTACCAAACATTATGTTTTATTTATTTTTATAACTTTTCATCATTTTATTTTTCTGTCATACCAAATGAAACATTATTGTCTTTTGTTGTCTGTAATAGTAGATTCGATTTTCATAATACAAAACACTAATTTAATCAAAGTTTGAGACTAAATTTTCGTCCAAGTGATTTTGTACATTCACACTCCCTCTTCTATAGTCAAACCATTCTCTCTGGAACCTTTACTCTTTATGGTATGTTTGGTAGAAAAGATAGAAAATAAGAATGATGAAAAAGTAAGAGGAATCGATTTGTCTTTCTCAAAAGAAAGAAATATATTTTTTCTCCTTTTTATTTGGTACGGCAGATAAAAAGTAAGAGAGATTTATTTTTTATTGTTTGATATTAAATAAAAAATGAAAAGAAAGGAAAAATATGTATGTAAAAATTACATCTCTACCCTTATTACCCTTCCAATATATGAGTAATATTATTGTGAGCTAATTTACGGACCTATGTGACCTAATTTATTGACCCTTCCAATTTGACTGTGGGGTCCATCAATTTTTGGAATTTGTTGTTGACTTAATAATTCTAATAAAATTATATTATTAGGTTCCAATAAAATTATATTATTAGATCAATAAATTATATCAAATTTTTAAGTCTTAATAGTTTTACTCATAATATATTGAGCACCTAATGTTTCTTCTTGCAATGAATAGTCTGACTCATTCAACTAGGCTTTTTGGTGTTTTTTTTTGTTTTTTTCCTTGTTGATAATAACCAACCTACTGGAATGAGAGTTATGGCATCTAAACAGTGGTATAACCATCTATGGGACATTAATCACTTGATAATACATCAGACCAATAGTGATAAGTGAAAGTGGGTACTAAAGCAATGTCTTATCAAGGGCAAAAATGTTAGATTAGACAAATTATTAGTTAGTCTGCAGCTTTTCGCCCACTTCTGTTGTGGGGGAGGGGAATTGGTGGGCAGGACATATAGCGTTTAACTCCAATTTTCTTCTTCCACCTCTTTTCCTTTTAAATCAAACAGTGAATTATTTTTTTTTTCATCCACTTTTCTTTCCCTTATTTTTATCCACCCTATTTTTCATCAAATCAAAGGGTTGGTCTTATGTTTATTCAACTATACCCTCTCTCCCTCTCTTAGTTTTTTTTAGGGAGAATTATACTCAAACTCTCTAAAATTTGTCACTTAATCACTTAAATCTCTTAACATTTAAAATATTATATACAAACCTCTTGAAGTTTATACTCGGATAACACTTAAACCCCTCCCGTCAATTTCTGTTAGTATATTCGTTAGTAAATTACACTCAAACCCGTTGACGTTTATAACCGTATAATAGTTAGGCTTCTCAAATTTAAAAATATTATATTTAGACCAAAAATATTCCAATCAAATATATGATATTAAATATTTTAAATTTTACAACTAAAATTCATGCTCTATTATGACATTTATTGAAATAAAATTTAAAATAAAAAATTTAATTTTTTTAGTATATAATTATATTATCTATTAGAATTTAATTTGGTCATTTGAACGACTAAATTAAACTATTAAATTATCTCAATTAAAGATAAAAGATATTGTATCTATTACAGTTTGATATTTTGCTTAATTTTATTTCAATAAATAATATAATTATATACTAATTGTGATTTTTTTTTAAAAAAATTACATTTATATTTTTTATTTTATTTCAATAAGTGATACAATAGAACATGAATTTTGATTATAGAATTTAAAATATTTGATATTCTATCCTTAATTAGAATTTTTATGATCTAAGTATAATATTTTAAACTTTAGAGATCTAAATATTGTACGCTTATAAATTTTAAGGAGTGTAAATATAATTTACTAACGAATATAATAATAAAAATTAATGAAAGAGGTTTAATTATTATGTAAGTATAAATCTCAGGGAATCTGTATATAATATTTTAAATATCAAAAAATTTGAATAGTTAAGTGTCAAATTTTCAAGAGTCTGAAAGTAATTCCCTCTCTTTTTTTTTTTTTTTTTTTATTGTGGTGGTTGTTATCAATTGGTCTTCGGCTTTTCTTTTTGTGTGGCCGCAAGGGTGATAATGGTGATCAATTGGGATTTCTTTTGTTCTTTTGTGGTGAGTGATTATTAGCCAGGTAAAATTTGGTACCGTTACTTTAAAATTTATTATTTTAATAAATATTTTTATAATTTTTATAGGTCATTTTAAAGAATTTATTATTTTTGTAAGTGTTTTTACTACTATTATTGATAATTTTACCATTTTTTAGGTACAAAAAAATTATCACTTTTGTAGATAATTTATCATATTTATAGGTATTTTCATCACTGATGTTGATGTTTTTACCACTTTTCTTTGATACCACAACAGTGACAGAATATTTACATCAGTAATAAAAACATTTACCAATATAATACATGTCGGTATGGTACCAAAATATATTTTGTTTCATTACCATATACATCTACCTAATTTGGTGCTGTAGTTTCAGGTTTTATAAATTTTGTAGGTTAAGAAAAAAAAAATTAAATTTGTTTATAATAAATATATATATATATATAATTTTTTAAGTTATATTATAGCTTTTATGGTTTACGTTACAATATTTTGGAGGTCATTTTTAACTTTTGAAATTAATTGAGATGGATCCTAGGAATTTTAAAGTTTAATTTTAAGGTAATTTTAAAAATTATAAATGACTCTAAAAATTTATAAATAACAGAACTTGTACGTAGGTACGATTTTTTCAGGTACCGAAGTAGGTTGATGCAAATTTTTTGTGTCTGTCCAACAGAAAAATGGAACTGCCCCCGAAAATTTAAATTAAATATATATAAATAATTATATATTTAAATTATAATTTTTTGAATTTCAATTAAATTGTGTAGCTGGAAAATTTTGCTAACCGGCAGGCAATAGAACAGTGGCTTTGGCGTTTCAGACGAGGCATCATCAACTCTGATTGGGTTTGGATTTGAAGCTGCAGCGTACGGAATCATTATTCTTTCCTAAGGTGATGATGGGTCCATCATCCTCATCCTCACAGTCATTATCACCTACTAAGACTATGGATGATTATGGAGGGGGTGATAGTAGTGGTCTCACCTCTACTAGGGGAGCTAACGAGGTGGTAGGCAATCTATCCCGTGATGATCTTGCTGGTGCAGTTGGTGTAAGGACGACTTTTGCAGCCTTTTGATATTTCTACAGCTAAAAACGACTTCAGATTCCAAGGTAATTCAAGCTAAGGAAAACTGATTAATGTGGATTTGGGGAAAAGACAAGGACAGATTAGAGAATAACTATGAGACAGAGAATGAAAGGTCAAGGGTTTTCTGGAGTTGTGATTTTTGTGGATTTGTGTTTTGCAGGAGGAATGGCGGCAACTTTGGGATTTCCTTTCACACCTGCTCAGTGCAAGGAGCTGGAGAGACAAGCTCTGATATATAAGTACATGCTGGCCTCTGTACCAGTGCCTCTTGATCTCCTCTTACCCCGTTCCACAAATCTTCCTCCAGACCTTACTCCATACCACTCTCCCTGTAATGAGCCCTGGTTTCTTCTTCTCCAACACTCCCTTATAATGACTTCTTTGGTTTTTCAATATGGGTTTTGCTTTTTCCGGTCTTTGTAGAAGTGGGTTTGTATTGTTCTTAAAAGTTTCTCTCTCTCTCTCTCTTGCTTGTGGGCGGTGGGTGGTGGTTTTGTATTCAATCTGCGTGGAGATCCAGAGCCAGGACGGTGCAAAAGAACTGATGGAAAGAAATGGAGGTGCGCAAGAGATGTGGCGTCCAATGAAAAGTGATGGAACATTTCCAGATACTCTAAGATGATGACACGTATTTTCGGCGTCAATAGATACTCGCCGATCAGATCACAACACATGCGCGTCGGTCCATAATCCCCCTTTTTCCAAGGATACTATTTACAGGGATCAAGAATCTCCAGTATCCCATCGATCGACACGTATTTCTCGGTCAGTTTTAGGTACATCGGCCCCTAGCGACGCTGGACCCTCGACACCGAAGTATATTCGTCTACAAAGCATATCTGCTCTTGCAGGGCTATTGATGAACAGATCATTAGCCTAGACTATATTAGACTAGTCATCATGCTTTCGTCTTACTCAAATGGTGTCAGAAGGCGCAAGAAAACAGAAGGCTCAACCAAGGGGGAATGGGCACGTGGCGTATTGTGTTAGATCAGAGACAACAAGACTAGAATGTCCTTGCTGACACACGACTTGGGAAAACAAGTATTTAATGCACAATTTCCTTGATGGGACAACATTTAATGCATGAGAGCTTGAAAGTAAAAGATAATAAATATCTCAAAGCCTGGACATTTAATACACCCTCATCGAAGGAAGGTCATTAAACGTTCGGCAGACCGAGGAGAAAACATTAGTTGCTCGGGATCCCGAGCAGTTAAGAATAAGAACATTACTCATAGAAATTGGTGTGCACACTATCCACCTCCAATGATTACCTACTAGTTACACTGTCAGCAATGATGAGTTTTTAAGGTATAAATAGTCCTCACAAATGCAGAAAAGAGGTACGCAACAAATCATTTCTCAACCATCATACAATATTTTCTTCTTCCCCTCTCTCAAAGAACTAACTTGATTGTCGGAGGGGATACGCCGAAAAATACTCTGGCGCCCTTCTAACATGTTTTTCTCTATTCTAGGAGCCTCACTTAGCCTCCCAAGATCATTCAGGCGACTCATAAAAATGATTCATTATCCCTCCTTAGGCCACCTTCGGCCCTCACAATCGGTCCCAAGTAGTGAGATTGACCACTCGATCGACGGACACGTGTTCATCACGAAAGAGATCTGTTCTTGTATTTATATTGTGCAAGATCGTGCATGCATAATCTGGCGCCATCTATGGGAAATGACTAGTTTTCCTAGTTCCATTTCTAGAAAGAACAGTGACAATGGTGAATACTCGACAGAAAGGGAAATGTCCCCATCAAATAAGTCTCGAGTTACAAGCTCCTCATCATGACGGGGGGAAGGATCATGCTGGTGACAACAGGAACGTTTTTGTTCAGTTAAGGGGGCATACTCCTCTAACTAGTATGGGCATTGGGTCAGGAGGATCCGTCCCCTTGGCTCGTCAACTGGCGGAAGTGATCGAAGAAAAGTTTGGGGATCGACTACGGCAGTTAGAAAAAGATAATGTGAATGTCCTAAGTCGGCTCAACGAATTTGCAGTCCTCGGCGATGGATCAAGAGAATCATTCCGTTCCCGCGGACACCCCATTTGGGAAGCAAAAATCGAGGACTTGAGAAATCACTTGAACAATAAAGCTGAGAGTTTCAGGGTCCCAAAGCGCCCAAGGGCCAATGAGCACCCCCTCGATGGTCATTCCAGGAAGGCGAGACCTTTGGCTTAGGACGACCTCCGGCGAAGCTTGTCAAGGCACGGGAAAGGGGACGAGTCCGAAGAGGATTCAACCCTTTCCACACGACGCCCGGAGAAGGGAAATCCCGCCAACGACCTTAGAAACCTCAGAGGACATCTCCCTGAGGTGGAAACTGACCTCAGAGCTTGGCTGGAATCCAGAAGAAAGGGCAAGACCGTCCAGGATGACGTAGAAGACGAGGCAATGCAATCCCCTTCTACTAGGGATATTTGAGAAATGAAGGTACCAAAGAAGTTCGTCGTGCCAAGGTTCAAAACTTATGATGAGAGATCTGATCTCGAAGCTCACCTTAGGCAATACAAGCAAATGATGTCCCTCTATCACTCGGACCAACGGTTCCTCTGTCGAGTGTTCTCCATGAGTTTAGGAGATTCCGCTATGAAGTGGTTCGAGACTCTTTCTCCCGACGACATTGGGTCATGGAAGGAGTTGACGAGGTAATTTTTAGCCCGATTCATTACGGGGAGTAAACGGCCCAAAGATATTGGATCATTACTGACCCTCAGGTGGAGGGAACCGAAAACCCTTCGCCAATACGTCATCCGGTACTGGGAGGAAGTCAATGAGATAGAGGGGTGTTCGAAAGTCATGACGGTCGCATCCTTTAGGCTCGGTCTGGCAAGGGACACGGACCTCTACCGGTCCTTGACTAAGAAGACTCCCTTAGATATGGGCGAATTGCTGGCCCGGATAAACAAGTACTCCAGGATCGAAGATGAGATGGGGGGCGGCAAAAGCAAAACTCTCGCTCCTAGGAGAAAAGAGAGGGAGCGGGAGGACATCTCCCGAAAGGGGTTGGTACCCCCTCTAGGAGGGGCATTTAAGGGTGTTCACACTGTGTTCAAGAAGTCCATCTACAAGTTGCTCTATAAAATCAAGCGTGAGCCATTCTTCAAGTGGCCACCTAGGATGCAAAGTGATTCTTCCACCCGTGATCAGAACGTGAAGTGCTCCTATCACTAGGATTTCGGTCATCGCACTGAAGATTGCAGATTGTACAAATCTTTCTTGAAAAGGCTAGTCCAGGATGGTTACTTGAAAAAATACATCGAACCCAAGTCAGAAATGGGACATTTCTCTGCCCCCGACCGTGGCACAAGACAACGTCATAGACGTAATCCACGTGTGTCCACTAGACCGCCCGACGTCCAAGGAGCTTGAGTCCGATCTCAAGAGGATAGCCCTTACGAGAAAGGTTGTCGAGAGCGATGGGGGCCCGCCCAGCAAGAGGGCCAGGACTGGTGAGCCGGGCATCATGTTCTCCGACGCGGACTTGGCAGACGTGGTGACTCCCCATAATGATGCCCTAATCATAACTCTGAAAATAGGCAAGTTTGATGTCAAGAGGCTGTTGGTAGATTTCGGGAGTTCCTCGGAGATGATGTACTCCGAAACCTTAAAGCGGATGGACTTTAGCCTCAAGGACCTCACTAAGGTCAGGACACCCCTCGTCGAATTTAACGGCATATTTGCCCTGCCCATAGGCAAAATTACGTTGCCAGTCGTCACGGGTCCCTTCACCATCAACACTGAGTTTGTCGTAATTGATATGGACTCTCCTTACAATGTGATCATGGGACGAGCTTGGTTGCATGCGTTGGGGGCGATGCACTCCACTTACCACCAGAAATTAAAATTTACTACACCAGAGGGAATGATGTAGATCCGACGGGACCAAGCGTCCGCAAAAAACTATTTTTACTCGGTCGTGAGGGCGGGGGTCTTCACCCAAGAGAAGGGACGCACCCCGGAGGAAATCCTAAAAAAATAGCAATCACAGTCCGGGCGTCCGAGACTGGGTGACCCCCGGACTGACCCGACGAACCGATCGGTGGAGGATCTCCAGAAGGTGTTCTTAGTAGATGATGAAGAGGAGAGATACTTCCTGATTGGCTCTGCAATGCCTACAGCCGAACAAGAGGAAATGACTGACTTTTTAAAGCAAAATGCAAACGTGTTCGCTTGGAATGCAATGGAAATGAAAGGGGTGGACCCCGAAGTAATCACGCATAAGTTACATGTGGACCCAGCACACAAGCCAATAAAGCAGAAGCCACGGCGCATAGTGCCAGATCATGCCTGGGCGGTGAACGAGGAAATCGATAAGCTCTTGGAGGCCAATACTATCCGGGAGGTGCAGTTCCCAGAATGATTATCAAACACGGTCTGTGCGAAGAAAAATGGGAGAAAATGGAGTGTCTGCGTAGACTTCACTGATTTGAACAAGACATATCCCAAGGACGACTACCCCTTACCAAAGATTGACCAGTTGGTAGATGCCACTGCCAGGTATTAGCGCATGGCCTTCCTGGATACCAAAGTAGGATATTATCAAATCCCTCTCCATCCCCCAGATCAAGAAAAATGACATTTATCATTCCGAGGGGGGTTTAGTGCTACAAAGTCATGCCATTCGGGCTGAAGAATGCCGAAGCTACGTACCAGAGGCTGATGAATTGGATGTTCAAAAGATAAATCGACAGCACCATGAAGGTCTACATTGATGATATGTTGGTTAAAAGTAGAAGAAGTTGTGACCACCTGGTGGATTTAGCCGATATCTTCTCCACCCTCAGAGAGTATGGGCTGAAGCTAAACGCGACGAAGTGTGTTTTCGGAGTGGAGTCTGGTAAATTCCTCAGATATCTGGTGAGTCGGTGAGGATTCGAAGCTAACCCAGATCAGATTCAAGCGATCCTGGACATCTAGAGTCCCCGAAACGGTCCGGGAAGTCCAGAAGCTCATAGGGATGTTAGCAGCACTTAATCGTCTTATCTCACGCTCCTCGGACAAATGTAAACCCTTCTTTGGGGCCATCAAGGGGGCCGAAAAGGATACGTGAAACCAAGAGTATGAAGGCGCCCTAGCAGGAATCAAGAAATATCTCAGAGTTCTCTCGGCCCTATCCGTCCCTGTTCAAGGGGAAATGCTCTTCCTGTACTTGTCCGTATCAAAATTTACCGTCAGTGGGGTACTCATTTGTGACCACGAGCACCACCAGAAGCCAGTATATTACATGAGCAAAGCACTACTGGACGCGGAAACAAGATACCTACCCCTGGAGAAACTCGCTCTATCCTTGGTTACGACTGCAAGAAAACTAAGGCATTATTTCCAAGCACACCCAATCACCGTTCTTACCGATCAGCCCTTAAAGGCAATTTTGAGAAAGGCAGATCTCTCTGGAAGGATTTCCAA